CCCGCTGGCAGCCAGGCCGGGGGAGCGAGGGGGATGTGGGAGGACCATGGTGGGAGGCCGATGTTGGTCCAGCTTTGCACTAACCCATCCAGGCCAACACCGGTGTCGGCGAAGTGCCTTGGGCTCCACACAGGCTCCTTGCACTCTATTGCAATCCCACCGGCATCTCGCATCCCAAGCTGGGGTGAAGCCTTGCACAGCACATCCTACCCCAGCCCCCTCCGCTCCAGTCCCCCCAGCCCTGCAGAGTCAATGGGAGGCCATCAACCTCCAGCATAAACCCAAGCCTCTACCCACAGCGTCCGCCCCCGAGGTGCACCCACAGCCAAGGCAGCATCGCACAGCTCAAGCCAGTGTCTTTAGTATTTCCAGTTCTGCAGGGCAAGCCCTCACCGTCAGCCTCCTAATTGTAGGAGAAACTTGGCCAAAGGTTTTCAACCTGAGTGCATCCCAAACCAGGAATTTGGGAAGGAGAGGACCTGGGTCTGTGCACTGCCAGCACAAAGCCAGAGCTGGCCCCGGAAGGGCAGGGTGGCAGCTGGGTGACACAGCCTGCTTGGGCTGTCCCCACGGGCGCCTGCATCCCACTAATGGCATCCAACATCAGACAGGGCAAACGCAGCACCATGCCCACAGGTCTCTCTGCCAGAGCTGAGTCTTGCAGGTGACGCTTGTGACACAGGCCAGAGGTTTAGCCCCGGACCTGCACCCATCCTGGTCCTGCACCCATCCCGGACCTGCACCCATCCCAGTCCTGCACCCCTCCCAGACCTGCCTGTCGGCTGCCAGCCCTCCTTCCCCGGAAGTTTGGCCAAAAATTAAGAAGGTCTGAGCCCAGCCGCTCCTACACCTGGGCACCCACCTTGCCCTGTCCCTCTGGGTCTCATTTAAGAAGCAAACATGGGTGAAGATCACCTTTCTCCTGTGCTGCCTTCCCGTGGAGGCTCCCGGGGCCACCCCCCAGGCACCATCCCCACCTCCCCTGTCTTCTCCATCCCATAAAGGTATTCAGGGCTTTGGTGCCTAAATAACCACACAGAGCTGGCCGGTATCGTGGAGCCTGGCAGCCACAAAAGCAATCGAGGCAGAAAGCAGAGCAAGGAGAAAGGTGGGAGAGAGGCCACGGGGATGGTGCTGTGCATGGTGCATGGCATGGATCTGGCACAGCTCCACTCTGCTGCCACCGCGTCCTACCCTCATGGTAATTAAGGTAGCTAAAATAAATAGGGATGGTTTCATCCCTGCAGGGATAATTCCTCCTCCCGGGGTGGCATGTGCTTGCAGGGCTGCCCCAAAGGTTGGGGATAAGGCAGCCAAAGCTGGCGGGCTGGAAATGGAAATTTCCCAGGAAGGGAGGAAATCGCTTCTTTCTGGGGCGTAACCAGCCCTCGCCCTCCAACAACTTTATTTGCCGCTGTTGTGTCCCTAAATAGCTCCTCGAGGCAGCTGCTGGGAGTTTACATCTCCTTCGCCTCTGCTCCCCTCCCAGCCTCTGGAAATGGGCTCACGCAGCCCCGATTTCCAGAGCAACTCATCCAGAGCGGGGGAAACCTCCTGCAGCCACTGCAGGGACCCGGCCCCACTGCTGCCTGCCCCAGTACAGCCCTCCGGCTCTGGGCAATATTTTGGGGAGTGCAGAACCCCAGGAAGTTTGGGTGTCTAAGGTCAGGAGTGTAAACCATCAAGCCTCTGGTGGGTCTGGAGCCAAGGATTCGCTTGGGGTCCTTTTGGAGAAGGGGTGATGTTGTGCCAGGAGGGAAGCGGTTCCCTGGGTGCAGTGGGGCTGGCAACCCGCTCCAGTGACCCCTGAAGTTGGTACCCCAACCCCAACCTGTTCACCATCCCTGCCCGGGGCTGGGGATGGATCGGGAGAGAAGAGGAGCACACGAGGCACAAGAAGATGTGCCCAGGAGAGCGAGCGGCGAGGGGAGGGTACACGCAGGGGCCGATGCTTGTGCTCAGCCAAAGCGCTGAAGTCAGCACTCTCCGGAGCCATCTGTTCCCAGCGAAGCCCCGGCGCAGACAGACTCGCCCCGGCTCCTGGCAGCAGATGCCGCAATTCGGTGATTCATGCGGCGAGGGGCCGGGGATGGTGTAAAGCCGGACACCGCCTCTGCGGCCGCACAAACTCCAGGGATGGGTCTGGAAAATTATGCATTAGCCATGCTGCTGAAAAGCTTTTCCAACCATTTTTCTGGTCACATGAGCTGGCTTTTAAATGGCAGCACAGCTCTTCACTGCCGGGCCAGAGACCTGACTCAAGCTAGTTTTTTCCCTTATCCCAGAGCACAGGTAACCTCCCGCTTCACAGGCTCTAAACGCTCATTTGAAAAGGCCAAGTTCAGCAAGCAGCCTATCGGCAAAGCCAGCGAGAGCCTCTGCACTTGTCTCCCGGGTGTAATTGCAAAATGCAGCATCAACAGGAGCTTCTGGGGTGTCTCAGGCCTGTTTCTTCCCTGGATTACTCCAAGCTGCCTGGCAGCCCGTGCAAGGCAGGAGCCCCAGGGCAGAACAGAGTTAGCCTGCACAGTGCTGCAGACCGGGGAAACTGAGGCAGAGGAGCGCAAAGCAGCAGTGGGAGGTTGCAAAGACCCAACTGAACAGCACTTACTGTGCAACCACCCCGCACTGTGATGGGCTTGTACCCAGCCTGGCTGCCTTTCAGAGCAGCACACAAGACACCAAGGAAAGCGTGGCGTGAGGAGCTGCAGGAAGGGAACCGCGCAGCCTTGCCTGGCCGGTCTCGGGGCCATCCCTCACCAGATGCTGATCTCCACCGCCTTTGCGCAGTCTCATTAAAGCTAAGCTGAGCCATAACTCATCGGAGCAGGGAAGTCCACATTAAGAGCTGGCAGCAACGACTTCAGTGTTTCAGGCCTCCTTCCAACAGCAGACGGGTGTCACTCACAGCATCGCCTTCCCAGCTCCTTACCCGCTGCGGAAAATGGCTTTGGAGCTGCTCCTCCGGCTGCTCGAGAGTGGAGGGCAAGGGGGTGGCTGCCCCCTTGCCCCTTGGACCGCTGTAGTGGGGACATACCTGGAGCAAACACCCACAAGGTTAATGGTGCCTAAAAGCGGCACCCAAATGTGAAGAGGAACCTGCGAGGGTCCCCTAGCCTGCTCAGAGCCCAGGCAGGCAGCTGGGGCTTTGCAGGCAGCCAGACAGACGGGTCATCCCCCCCCCAGCCCCGGGGGTGCCGGGTCACCCCTCCATCCCTGCTCAGCCCCTCTCTGCTCCCCGTTACCGGCCTTCCAGCGCCACCTAATGACATGGCGACTGGGGATAAGGACCTTCACGGGGAAGCTGGATGCATCCCGGTCCCCAGAGAGAAGGATGGAGAGCACCGACAGCGATGGGGAAGCAGGAGGCAGCAGGACACCCAGCTGGGGCTTGGGGATGCATGCGGCAGAGGAAAGGGGAGCTGGAGATATTGAATAAGTATTTACATAATTGTAATGATCCTTCCTCTGCCCATGAGCCTCAGTCCTCCATCCCTGCCCTTCGCTGACCTTGATCATCCCATGGCTTTCCCACAGCCCAGCACTAACCCCAGGGCCTTGGCCAAGTTCTGGGTTGAGCAAGGACATTGGGCTCAGCAAAGAAAGACGACCCCCTTAATCTGTTGTCACAGCCCAAAAACTACCCTGAAGCATCACCATTTTGGGAACAGCCCTTTGCCATGCTCAGTGCAAGCACAGAGGCCTTTATCATGGCTACAAAAGCCCCCTGACACCAAGATTCAAGGTGGAGTGGAAGAAAACCGCAGGGAAGAGCCGGCTCATCTATTCCCGATACCTGCAGATTTGATGCAGCCGCAACAACCCCTTCACCGTCACGTTTCTGGCTGGGCTATCTACCGAAACGGCTGCTCCCCGCCCTGAGTGCAACCCCCTCGCCTCCACACCCCCCTTTCCAAAGCGCTTATTCGCCTCCGAACCCAGAGCTGATGTAATCTCCCGCTTAAGAGTTCAGCATTAGGACTGCATCAGCCGCGAGACATAACGAGAGCCACATCACACAAGCAGCTGTTCGACAAAAGCTTTATTGCTCGTTTGTGTACGAGTTCCCAGTATCACATTTCCTGAGTTTTTTAATGAGCTTGCAAATGAGATTCAAATAGAAAAGGAAGGGGGGAAAAAAGAAAAAAAAGAGAGAAGCCACAGATCTTCCTTCCCTAAGGTTGGACCAGAGATGAGGTGGGAGCACAGTGCCCGGTGGGCAAGCCCTCTACCATGGGAGAGGGCCTGGCAGAGATGGAGGTTGAGCGTGGACCCGAGACAAACCCCCCCTGGCTGCCCTGGCTCGATTTACCCTCTGCCTCCATCACGGAGCCTAATTTGTTTCTGACACACAGCCACCAGCAACTGCCATTGTCACTATTTACACAGGTCAGAGAGGAGCGGTTGTAATCCTGCAGCGCTCCCGTGGGGAGCGCAGGGGGTCGGGGACAGCGTGGGTGGCAGGACGGCCAGGGGAGGGGGCCAGGCTGACGCAGCCCCTGCGCCACGGATAAAGAGCAGATTACGGCTCATGGCTTGTAATCTGGCTTAAAACCTGACACCATCACCATAGTCAATTTGGGTTAAGAGAAGCATTTAATAAGCTTCAAAACACACAGGCCAAGAAAACCCCACCAGTGAATGAAGTGAAAGGGCTCAAGACATTGCTTGCACCAGCCAGCGCTGGCAGGTACCAACGAACACAGGATCCCTCACGATCCGGAACAAGGCAATTACACGCTTGTTATCCCAATCCACCCCACGAGCTAGGACCCAGGCTCTGCCGGGGTTTAACTGTGGGAGGCATAAAGCAAACTAATGCCCCTGTCTGTTTGTTTAAAGCTCACAACAAGCGGGGAGCAAACGGTCCATCCCTGTGCGAGAGGAGCTGCCTTGCCTCGGGCCACGTCGCAGGAGACGCGGCGCTCGGCTGGTGCTCCGAGATTGAGGCGGTCACAGACAAAGAAGCCAGACTCAAGCAGCAAGTCCAATTTGGCTTTCCTGGAAGGGTTTATTTAAAAAACAATTATTAAAAGAAGCCTGCTCGGGCACGAATGACAAGGCAACAGAGCCATTTGGCTTGAGGCTTGAAGGGGAGGCAGCAAGACACAAGGAAGTTTCTCTACGCGACTTGCCATGGGGAAAGTGCCTGGCCAGGACTCCTGCCAGGTGCACATCTCCCCTCGCCTCTGCCGGCCAATTTGTTAATGCTCGAAGGACCCGAATGACGAGAATCGCCCCAGGGGCAGCAGCCGGCTGCAGAGATGCAGGGCCAGCCAGCAGTCTCAGATGTTTTGAAAGACTCGCTTTAGGAATCCAGAGTTCATCGTTACTAGAAAGGCTCAAGTGTCACACACCTCCCCAGAGCGGCCACAAGCCCTGCTCTCCCGGGCCCTGCCCGTAACCCACTGGCGTTGCCCCAGGACAGCACCAGCGGGAGCAGTGCCACATTCCCACCGCTGCCGCTTTAGCGACCGATCAACTGCAGCATCTCCTGAGGATCCACTATCTTCTCCCGGGGCTTGCCAGCAGCTTTGCCTCTTGCCACTTCAGCAGCATCTATCTTCTCCCAGTCCGAGAAGGAAACAGGACGGACCCCTGGGGTGACGGCGAGAGAAGGGAGGGAGAAGTTAACCAAGTAAAAATGAGTTCAGCCTCACCTCCCCGTTAGCAGGGACCTGATGTGCCAGCAAACCCTGCCCGTTTCCGACACAGCGTCGGACTTCAGCCTCACAAAGGAATAATAATTTCTAACACCGTGAGGAGAGGGATGGCAGGTTCCAGTCGACTCGCATCAGTCAGACCTTTGCGAGCCGTAACAGCAGCAAGCACGGCACCACCTTAGGGGACAAAACGCTTCCAGTTCACTGTTAAACCTCAGTTAAGAGGCAAAACACACACACTTTAATTGAATGCCTTTAAACACAGCAACAGCAAATGACTCTCTTGGGCATTTTAATCTTTCCCCCAACTTGCCTGGAAGGACTGCTAGGAAAACCACTCGAGCAATAGCTCGCTGTCTAGGCAGCTGACAGCGACATTTTACCCAAGGTCCGTGCTGCTTTTAATAGCCCTTCCCAGAAAGTGGCCATTAACCTTAGCAATGACACCGAGTTCGAGGGAATTCAAGTCCTGCTCTCCCTGGGCTTTGGAGCAACGTAACGGCAGCACAACACATTTCCTTGGTTTGGACTCCGCTCCCAAAAGCAGCTCGCAGGACTTGCTGCCCCAGGATACCCTGATCCAGAAGGAGCTTGGCTGCATCATACCTTCATGTTCACTGCTACAGCAGCTCACGCCCCCCACCACTGACCTCGGCTGCCCAGGATGCTCTCCACGGCCCCAAAGCCTTCTCTGGAGGCGGACACGTCCAGCACGCCCACCTGGAGATCCTCCAGCACAGACTGGGCAGTGTCAAAGCTGTCATTCATGGTGGTGATGATCACGCCCGTGGGTCCTCTCTTCACCCATCCGCTGCAGTACAGACCTGCATGGGCACACGGAGCAGCCAGGCTCAGTCCAGCACGCGGCCGTGGACCCTCCTGGCTGCAAGTCCTTGCCCTGTCCCTGGGTGTCACATCAAGCTGCAGGCAGTGGAAGAATCCCCCCCTGTGGTGGGAACAGAATGTGGCCCTTCAACAGCGCTGTCACAGCAATTTGTGTACCTGCAGACCGGCACTAAGCAGCCGTACGGGCTGTATCGCTTTAGTAACAGACTCCAAGGCCCAGTAAAACCACCATAACCTTCAGCGCTGTTTGCTGCAAAACCAGACACCCCTAACGTGAGCCAGGGACGGGCCAGGTCTTAACACCTGACAGGCAGCTCATTTCCTCAGTTTCCACTCTCCGACTGAGGGTTGCGACCGCCTTATATCAGTGCCCTTGGTGAATGGAGCTTCCCACCCCAAAGCCCCCAACCCACCAGCGGCGCCCGACATGTCCCACACATCCCCCTGCAGATGCAGACCTGGGACACCCTCCACTCTGCCCGAGCTGTTGGGGATAACGCCGCGCTGGGTGTCGAAGGGTACCGCTGGGTCCAGAGGCCGGCTCTGGTAGCCAATGCTGCTGAGCACCAGCCCGCACTCCAGCTCCTCCACGTCTCCAGTGGGGACGGCTTTGGCGGAGTCCCCCGAGCCCTGAGAGAGGGAGGAAGAGGCTGCTGACCACCAAGAGAGTCAGCAGATGCAGAGCAGCAGCCTCCTCCGGTCCCCTTTGGCATCCTTGATCGGTGGGTATTTGCTAAAGGCCTTTCTGCAGCAGTAGCAGCGTGGAAAGAGCTCCCTTCAGACGGGGAAAGGCTCTTGTCGGTGGTACCGGCTTCCCCGAGACCCTGCCAGCGCCCACTCCAGCCAGCCAGGGAACACAAAGCTGTCTTTGGAGAGATTTCCAAGGGCTGCAGGGATGCAGCAGTGTCCTGCTCCATCCCTGCAGCCCTGCTAGGGCCATACCAGCCCCCCCATGAGCCCCTACCTCCAGGCGGGTCAGGGCCATGCGGACGCCCCTCGCCCGCCTCCCGTCAGTGGTGGGCAGCACCTCCTGGGGGCTGCGCTGGAACTTCAGGCCCCACTCCCGGGGGGCTGCTGCCTGTGCCACCACCGCCTGCACCTCCATCATCTTCTCCCCAGGCTTCTCTAGGGCTGTTTTGATCATCAGCTCAGTCAGTCGCTTCCTGGGCCTGGGGGCATCTAGGAAGAGAGAGCTTCAGGACAGGAACCTCAGCAAAAGCCCCTCGGGAGGTGGCATGGAGCCGAGGTCACGTCAAGGCAGTTTCAGTGGTATGTGAGTGTCCATTTGAAGTTTGTCATGCCAATGGGAGTCCGACGCCTCTGAGATGACAAACTACAAGTCAAAGTGACCAGGAGAGCTCCTGAGGCTTGAGGCCAGTGGGAGACACAAATCAAAGCCTGCAGTTTTGCTGTCTTGCTGGTGCTCAGAGGCAGCAGACTGTGGAGAAGAGCAAGTCTCTGGACACCCTTGAACTCAGTGTTTTCTTTTTAGCTCTGCAGGAAGCTCTTAAATCAACAGCCTTGGGATCTCTCCTGCAAGGTTCCCCCAGCCCTCCCAAACCTCCTGCCCTCATCACTCAGGGAGTAAGCGTCACTCCCAAGCAGCAAAGTGGCTGCACAAACAGAGAAACAGGCTGTTCCCTTGTCTTTGTGGCCTCCTAGCACTCTGAAGACGAGCCACATCACGGTCACCTGGCTTTCACACGCCATGCATTAAGCACAGGGCAAAGTTTCTCTGATGCACATTCTGAGCATCTCCAGATGACTCCTGGACGCTTGCCTGTTAAGGTGAGCCCCTGTCCGGAGGAGCACGGCACATTTCCCTCACCTTTAATAGCGTTTTCGAGGCCTGTGAAGTCAGCAGGGTTCAAGACAGGTCTGGCACCAGGCAGGTTTATCATCTCCCGCAGCTCCTGGGAATTGCAGGCAGGAAGATGTTACCTCCAGCGCAGAGAGGTTGTCCAACAGCCCCATGCCCTCTTCCCCTAGCAGTCCGGGCTAGCAGCCAGCAAATGGGTGCAGGAAGGAGGGCGCCTACGTTCCCCACCCATCCCTAGACCACCTCTCCCCACCGGGGACGGGCAGCCTGGGGCTCAACGCTGGGAAATGTGGCTGCCCTCCAGTACCCCCAGCCTTACCTTGATAGTGAAAGCAACTTGGAGAGGTCCCCTCCTCCCAGCCAGCCAGACGCGCTTCACCTTGCTGCAGGCAAGAGCTGCCAGGGAGCTGTCAGTGATGTCTGTCTTCTGCAAGAGAGAGACAGGAGAACGGGACGAGGGCAGATCTGGAGGGAGCTGGGGGGAAGGCACAGCTTCTGAAGGTGAAAAATCAGCAGAAAAGCAGGCTGTGCACGCAGAGTCTGGGCAAGGATGGAAAACAAGTCATCTCCCTTTGCACAGAGCTATTTACGCAGCTGGTCCCTCATCACTGAACGTACTTCCCGAGGCCGTAACACACTAGAGGTAACGAGCCAGCACCCCGTCAGATTGCCTCGGGGGATCCACCCAGGCAGGTTAACCTTGGGGCTAATGGAGCACAGCCTTCCAGTGATCTTGATTTTGGGGTGCCTGCAGATGCTGTTGGGTGACTTCCCAGCTCAGGATATAAAGGCATTTGGGTGAAACCCACTGCAGACCACAGCTCAAATCACTGCCTGCCCGCCCCAGGCAGCGCCAAGCACAAACACAAGCATCGCCAGGGCTCGACCGATGGTTGGCATCTTGCAGCAACTCCATGCTCCGTTTCAATCGTGTGCATGTACCTAGACCACAAGACCATCTTTTCCAGAGAAGATACAGTATCAGGGACACCAGGTAACCAGGATAAACCATTCCAGACCAATATTCTTAACAGGAAGCTGCCTGTACACTCTGGCACTCATTTCCAGTGCCGTGTCCTTCGCAGCACTGCTCCCACAGCTGGGTTTAGCCACTGGCTGGCAGTGCCTCCAGGGGTTTTTTTTTGTTATTTAATTTAGATATTAACACAGGAAGTTGTTGCACAGCTGTAACGAACCTCGTGGCATTTCTCCAGGAGGGAGAGCCTTTGCTGCCAACATCTGGGGCAGCAGCTGTACGGAGCAGCTGGTGCACACCAGCTCCCAGCTGTCTATAGGGGAGTACGGCAGCGGGAGGAGAGGTCCACCAGCTTGGACCAGCCACCGGTATGCCCAGTGCTACCAGCAGGAACCAGGCTGTTGCCCTCAGCTACAGCAGAAAAAAAAAACCCAACAGGAGAAGCTTCTAGTTTGGTGGTGGAAAAGGCTGAGCAGCTCCTCCTTTGCTTCTCACAGGAAAGGAAGGGATAAAGCTCAATTGCCAACATTTTAGGTATGAACAGAGCAATCCAGAGAGCTCTGCAGCGTTACCCAAGGCACAGCCTCAGCCTGGGATCACACCCTGTGGACTGTGAACCCATAGGGTGCACCCAAGGGGCAACAGGCTTCCTTGGTGAAAGTGCCCAAAGACAGGAGAGTCTGAGGTTTTGCTGAGATGGGTGGGAACCAGCACCCACCCAGCGAGGAGAGAATTTGGGCCCCAGGCTGCCTTCACAGTGCGGGTCACCCCCGTGACTCACCCTGAGGAGATGCAGCGGGGACAGGAGGATCCGGGCAACATCCAGCGCCACGTTGCCGTGACCCAGAATCAGCGCTGTCTCGCAGCTCAGGTCGGGCTTCAGCTGGAGGGAGAGAAAGACCCAGCCATGAGCGAATCCACCCGGTCTCCATGATGTGCACCCCCTCAGACCTGCTCCCACCACCCAAATTCCCTTCCACCCCTCTTTTCCCCGAAAAAAGGTGATGCAGATGGGGAAACTCCACACCAGCCTCCTCCCCAAGCAGGCACAGCAACACAGCCGCTCCGGGCACCCCAGCCGGTCCCTCTCCCCCTCTTCCTGCGATGGCATCTCTGGGAGCAGGAGCTGTTTTGGCCAAAAAACCTCCTCAGGCCAAAGCAGAGTATCACCCCCCCAGGGTTCCCATCTGGCCCAGCCGAAACGTGCTGCCAACCCACAGACCCAGCTAATCCGCTCTCAATGATGTGCAAATTGTTCACATTTCTACCATCTAAGAAGGATTTAACATGGTGCCTGCTAATCTTTTCCAATTGCGGGCCTTTCAGGATTTAATCTGGAGCTGAATGCCTGCGTTCGGATGCAGGACGGGGAGGAAGGGCAGGACACACCGCTGTACTCACATCCCGGTTCTCGGGCAGCCCGTTGTACCAGCCCACGAACGCTCGGGCCGAATAAACGCCGGAGAGGTTCTCCCCTGGGATCCCCAGGACCCGGTTATCTTCAGCACCGTAACTCTGAGGAGGGAGCAGACACAGTCAGAGACGTCGCCATGTGCAGGGTTTGATACCAAAACGCAAATCTCCCCTTCCAGCTGCTGCCAGGGACCCTCACGGCTGCCAACCCTTCCCCAGGGCCGGGATACTCAATGGAGGGGCTAAACACAGCCTGAGCACAGGGGCTTCATCCACCCCATCCCCCTGGGCTCCAGAGCCAAACTTGACCTCCTTGGGCCAAGGCAGAGCATGACAAGCTGAGGACTGAACGGGAGGGACAAATCCACGTCAGGCTGAAACAGGTATTGGCCATCACAGGGAAGAGGTTCCTCAACTGCTGCCCCTTGCAGCAGGGTTTCGGAGACCTGCATTTGATGCCATCCTCTAGCACATACTCCCTGCAAAGCTTCGGACAAGCCTCGTAGCATCTGAGCTATCCCGAGGCTGGGGAGAGTTTACCACGGTAATAAGGCACCCAGAAACGCCTCACCCAAACCCTCTTCCCGAGATCCCAGTGGGGAATAACCCTGCAGACCTTCCCCGTGACTTCTGGGGAGCTAAGGAAGCCCTGGCTCTGTGGCGCAGTACCCACCAGCACCACGGCGTGGTAAGCCTGCCGCAGCTCTGCCACCGTGACATCCTTCCCCACGGTGACGTTTCCATAGTAGGCGCAGCGCTCCGAGCGCGCCGTCTGCGTGAAGGCATTGATCACGTTCTGCCGAGATCAAACAAGCGCCGGGGAGTTACGTCCAAGCCACAGCCGGGGCCAAGGTCTGCTGCTGACAGGAGGTCCCCGTTCCCGTCCCCCCCAGCCTTGAGATGCTTCTCCCCCTCCCCGAGTCAGTTATTCTGAGACTCTTATCTAACAACAGCCGCAGATAATTCACAGGGAGATAAGCACAGCTGCGACTTGGCACTCTCCACCACCCTTTGTGGAAAGGAAAATCCATCTTTTGCACCCACCTAGAGAGGACAGGACCCTTTCAATACCTTCAGCCCCTCTGAGTAAACCCCGCTGTAGGAGAAAACTCCTTCCCAAAGGTGAGGCTTGCAAGGGAGTCCCACCAAACAACCCCTTCCATCGAGGGTGCTGCCTGCCAGACCCCCTGCGCCAGCCCCTCATCTCAGCCCCTCCTGAAACCCACTTCATCAAGAGAGGACGCAGGGCAGGACGGCGCCCAAGGCCTTTTCTTCTGAGCGATCAGGGCTACACAGCAAAACAACCACTTCTTCCCCTACAGCTCCAGTTGGACTCAGCCTGGCAACAGGACGGATACCACCGTACTGCGGAAGCTGCCCCAAACCCACATCTGTTACGTCCACTCCTCATCTCTCAGCTCAGAGGGATCCAGGCATTTTGGTCTGATGATCTCCAGGGATTAGAGGAAACCATCGCAAGATATTGCTGTGTCCGGATCTCCTGTGTCCTACCACTCCAACCACCTCCACCCCAGCTCAGACACAGCAGATACCCCTGGGTACAACTCACACCCACTGCGAGGCAAAGGAAAACGGTTGATTTCAGAGAGCTCCTTAGTTTAACTTCTCCTTGCCCAGGTGTGCACCTACAGCCCAACTCCATCACCCCTAATAGCAGATCTGTGTGTTCCCAGGCACCCAGGACGGGTATGGACTGAGCAGAGGCAAAGAGCAACTGCAGGGAGCGGGCAAGATCCTGCCGGCATAAAGTTTCCTGGTGCAAAGAAACCCATCCATGCTCCTTGGTCTTGCTCTAGGCCAGGCTGACCAGCACCGGGAGCAGCACTTCCCATCACAAGCCCCTGTTTTAGACCCGCCGTCCAGAGCCCTAATGCTAGATGTCCCGTATCACCTGGCCATGGCCTCGCTGGGTCTCAACACGGACAGGGAGATTCGGGTCTCTCCAGTGTGACAGCTCTACGCTTCAGCGAGCCTTGAGGCACCACGAAGGATGACGACTGCCTGGCCTGCACCCACCACCATCACCGTGTTCAGCCGCAAGGGTGAGGGGCCGAGCCAGCACTAACCTTCACTTCGGGATGGTCTGGGGCCACCCCAAAACGGACGAGCCCGAAGGGAACCGGCAGCTTCTCATAGATGTCCACTCGGGCCCCGGCGTGGTGCTGCAGGAGAAGGAAGTCACAGTTAAGGGATGAGGACAGAAAGGCCACGCGAGCCCAGCAGCTCAGGAGGGACATGCATTGCTCACGGGCTGCTGGGGGAAATACAGGGCAGGAGGGAGGGTTGCACCAAGATCCCGAAGTCAGAAACAGCCTCTTCCATGCACAGGATGATGCTGTACCTGTTAGTGCCAGCTCGGAGCGCAAGGTGCGCTCCGAGCAAGAACATGCAAGAGCACGTGACCCAAACCATCATCAAGTACATCTCACGGGGGGCTCCATCCTCCTACCCACCCCACAGCCCCTCTTCCACACTAACCTGGTGGCTATCCAGTAGGCAGGGGGCTGACACTGGCTGGAAAGCACCCAGCGCAGCACCCTGGGTGCTCGTGGACCCACCGGGCCATCTGCCAGCCCCCGGCAGAGGTGCCCGTGCCCCGAGATCCCCCTGGGCTGAGTCACCTCAGGGTCGGAGCTTTAGACAGATGTTTTGCTGCAAGGCTTTTGTTATCTTGTATTTTGAGTCAGCCTCTTCCCAGAGATTAAGCAGCCCTGAAATTTGTCCCTGAGGCTTAGCAACAGCTATTTTCTAACACGTACCGGAGACAACACAGCACGGTTTAATGACAGGGTTAAGCTGCTGCGTCTCTGGTCGGTGCCAGCAGCCCAGTTCTGTGCTCGGGTCTCATTTCCCAACAGAGACGCGACCACCCAAAGCACGAACGTTTTACAGACACCAGGCGAAGGATCACCCGTGTGCCCAGTTCAGCTCGGGGAGGAGGAGGCAGGAGAGCAGGTCCTCCGCGTTCCCTTTAACGCACGGTTAATGTCACCCCTGCCGGGTGACAACGGCTCCGAGCGAGGCAGATCTCCGCTGCTTGTTCCATTCTAGAAAAATCACTCGGGCTGAACTCGCAGCAACCCGGCCAGGCCTGGACAGCCCAGGGGCAGGGCAGGGACAGGGGCAGCGGTGCCCACCCCAGGCGAAGGGGGGCAAGGAGGACCCCGTGGGGTCTGGGCTGCCCCAAGCAGCCCCCCAACACCACAGACCTGGCTGGAACGGGGCCGGGAGCCCACGAAACCGCTCCCCAACCCCCTCAGAGCCAGGCAGCAGGGAGGTGCCTCCCTCCGCCGGCAGGCCCCTGCCCTCGCCCGCGGCCAAATCCCACCCCGGTACCTTGAGGATGTGCTGAGCCGTGTAAAACCCCGCGGGCCCGC